CTGGCTCCATTCTACATTAATTTGTCTCTAGAAACATAACCAGCACAGACCGTAAAAGCTGCTTTCTGTCCTAGCAGTCTCAATAAAAGGTGCCCTTTTGGGAGGTGGCTTCTTGAGCCCTTGGACCCAGAAGCTTCTCTCTGGTCCTCTCAAGCATCATTTTCGCACCGATTGCCTGCTCAGGGCTTCCGCCAGCAACTTGCCTTCCCTGGACAACCATTAGCTGTCGCAGCCTGATTCTATTGCTGAGTCAGGCAATCAGTTTTAATTGCCAGTTTCCACCCCCAGCGGTGTCTCTTCCTTGTGGGAGGGAAGAAAGCTCTCTCTTAGAGCTTGGTGTCTGCTCCTGGATCAGATGCTCAGAGTGGCAGTGCAGGCCATTCAGAGAATCTGCTGCAACTTCTCAGGCCTCAGTTTCTCCATTCTTGTGGGCCGTCCTGGAGGAAGACGAGGGTTTGTTTGGGTGCCGAGCCTCTCTTAGCCTGCCCGCAGCTCAGCCCCACTTGCTTGTTTTCTGATAGCTGGCCTCTTTTTGTCCCTGCAGATTCATTGCCGCTCTTTGCCACACTGCTACCTGCCTTGAGCTGGGCTTGTTTGGATCCCATCAGAGGGAGGGCTCTTTCTGGCTTCCAGCTGGGCCCAGCAGGTAAGATGCCTGGGCAGGAGACCTGGGGAGATCAGGACATTTATCCCCATGGCACCTCCCGGTGGATCTCACCTCAGGGTCTCTGGTGGCAGGTCAGAGCTCCTCTCACGGGAGCCCCTTTTCTCAGTCCTCAGCTTTCCCTCCCTTGACCCTTGCAATTGGTTGGATGATTGGCCTCCATTCTTTGCCCCTCCGGGTGTCCATGCTGTTAGCCTGGAAGTGACTTTGTAGTTGCTCCCATAAAAGGAGGAGTGTATTTTCCCTGCCCTGGGACTTGGCTTTATGACTTGCTTTGGTCCATGGAACGTGGGTGAAACCAATTGTTTATGCCAGTTTCAAGTCCAGGTCTTTGGACCTGTTGTGTGTTTCTGTGTGCCTTTCTGGGAATCTGCCATCTCCCTGAGAAGAGCTTTCCGTGGGCACTGCTGCCTCTCCAGCCCGGGCCTCAGGATGAACCCATCTGGAAAAGCCCAGAGCTCCATCTGCAGAGAGGAACCAAGCCCAGCTGGACACCAGCTTGAAGCAGAGCCCACACTGAGCCAGATGAGCTCTAGTCAACCCACATGCCTCTGAGAAATCCATGCTCACTGCTGCATTCCACCAGGATTGTGTGATAAAGGGTGGGGCACCGGAGTCACTGCTGTATTTCTGTGCTCTCCTTACTCCCAGCTCTTACACATAAATATTCCCTCCATTAAACCCTTGGGGAGTCACCCCAATTTGGGTGTCATCTGTTTCCTGTGGTGACACCGAACGAATGATACAGGCACAGGCAGGGCCCAGTTCCACCCCAACATTTTATCACATTTGCCAGCGAAGTTCAAAATATGACATTCAATACCAGCTGTCCCTCTTCTTTGTTTTCCCATTTGCTACTCCATATTCAACTGAAACCCTAATCTTAGAAGCCAATAATGACATCTGATTTTACTCTTTGTATTTGTTCATTTGTTTTGAAGTTTTCAACTTTTTATTTGGAAAAAAATTTCAAACATATACACAAGTAGAGATATTATGATAAACACCATAATACCCATGACTCAGGTTTAACAATGATTAACATTTGCCAATCTTGTTTCATCTATATCTTTTCTGTTTTTGTTTTTCCTCTTCTAAATTTAATGACCTTTCTTTAAAAAAAAAAAGTTTATAGATTTTAAAGAGCGAGTTAAGGGAGAAGGAGAGAGAGAAACATCGATGAGAGATAACCATTATGTATTGATTGGCTGCCTCCTGCACGCCTCCTACTGGGGATCCAGCTTGCAATCTGGACATGTGCCCTGACTGGGAATCGAACCATGACCTCCTGGTTCATGGGTCAATGCTTAACCACTGAGCCATGCCTGCTGGGCTAAATGTAATGACTTTTCAATGCCAGGAGGAATCCAGAGGTCCCATCTTAGCTCTGATCTGAGATCTCTCTATCATGTTTGCTACTATTGCTCACCCTTTCTTCGTCACCCTTGCTGTCTCCTGGGCCTCCTTTTATCTCCACCGCTCTCTGTTTCCTGTTCTGGCGCTTAAATGGCAATGTTCCTGAGGGCCTTGTCGTTCATCTGTTTTCCTTCCTCTCTGTGCTCTTTTCCTGGACAGTTTCAGCTACTGGCTTAATCTGTGAGCCTCTCCATGTTCCTGTCTGTCCACTGAGTAGCTTCACTTGGTTGTTGCATGGACTTCACATTGAGCACATCTGGCCTAAACCAAACACAGCGACTTCTCCTTGGACCTTCTCCCCCTCCACCTCCTCTCTGGGTTCCCTATCTCAGCTCAGACCTTCCCCAGTGCCCAGTCCCATACCTACATATCTTATACCTCTTTGACTATTTCGCTTCCAAATAGTCTTCCCAATTCTTCGAGTTTTTCACGTCCCCTTCCTTGGTTCAGGCCCTCATCATCTCTTGCTTGGGACATTCTACATCCCCTCTGACTAGTTCCCCAGGCTGTTCCTCTCCTAAGTGCTGGTACCATTTTTCTAAATCACATGCCTCATCATGCTAACCCAAGCACAACTTAGCAATCTTCTATGGCTCTATTAGAAATATATTCTAAACATGATTGACGTGACATTGAACCTCATTACCACTTTTTCTTCTAATCTTTCTTCTAATCTTCTAATTTCTTCCTGTACTCTATGCTCCAAATATATGGCCCTGCTTGTTTTCCTCCTAAGACACCACATGGTTTCATGTGGCCTTTGTTCAGGCTGATCACTGTTATTATTTATTTGTTTATTTATTTATTTATTTTAGGATTAAAGAAAATGAGGTTCTGGTTCCCAAACACTAACTTCAAAGCACTCCTTCCACAGCTCTGGAATCAATCCCCCTTTTGCCCTTTTTAAGATTCTTGCTGGCATTTAAATGTGTTGTTCCTGCCAAAGGAAATAAACATGGTATTTAATTTTTTGAGCAGTCCCATTAGAGTTTCTCTTTTCAAAAGTGGCCCGTTTGCTATCGCAGTGGGTAGCATCTCCATGGAAATGCTACTTAATGTAAAGTTTCTGAGCCTTCCATAGGCCTTTGAGTGCCCCCAAGGCAGGAATGGTGTGCTACACATCTTTTGATATATCCCAGCGCCTGGCATGTAGGAAATATTAAGAAAGTGTTCGTTCAGATTGCATCTAAATTAGCATTGGGACCAGGAAATAAGATCAGGAGAGGGCACAAATGTTGCCAGCCAATTGCAGAGGAAACTGCCAAACATATAATCTATGAGCCGAGAGGCTGGGGTCACCCCATCCCCTGCAGCGAGGGCCTCCAAACCTGTCAGATGTCAGTTGCATTTGCAAAGCTAGGAGTTCAGGTGGAAGGTTGGATTTTTCTTCATTAAACTTGTCATTCCCCAAGGTGGGGCTCTGACAGGAACCCAGTGAGATGTCAAGCTGAGACAGCTGTTGCCAAACCTGGTGGAGGCATCCAGACAGCCGGAGATACAGCTGCTGCCTCAGACTTCACGAGCAGCTTCCTTCTCTTCTCGAAGGAGGTCACAATGCCTAACAAATAGGAACAGGGAGGCAGTCATGGTGTGAAGACAGAGACAGAATTGGGTTTGAGACAGAGCACGTGGATTTGAGTCTCAATTCTGGTTCTTATTAGCTGAGTGGCTTTGAGCACGCTATGCCACCCTCTGGGCCTCATTTTCCTCACTCATTATACAGGTTGCTGGGAACACTGAGTGAGATCCTGTATGTGGAAATGTTTTACAAAATGCTCAAATGTGCCAAAAACAGGTTTGGCTCAGTGGATAGAGCGATGCCTGTGGACTGAAGGGTCCCAAGTTCAATTCTGGTCAAGAGCATGTACCTTGGTTGCAGGCACATCCCCAGTGGATGGTGTGCAGGAGGCAGCTGATCGATGTTTCTTTCTAATCAATGTTTCTAACTCTCTATCCCTCTCTCTTCCTCTCTGTAAAAACTCAATAAAATATATTAAAAATGTTCAAATGTTAGGTATTATAAATTTAGAATATATTAAAATTACGTTTAGTTTTCAACACACACACACACACACACACACACACACACACACACATACACATTAAGTGTAGAATGGTCAAGTCAACACATCTTTGCTCACTGTCTATCATATATGCCCAGCTCTCTGCTCTCAACTGTGATAGATGCAGAAGTTTATAACATCAGTTTCCTGACTAAGAAATGGATGATCTAGTTGGGAGGTGGGACTAATTTGTTGTTCACTCTCCATGCTTCTATAGAGGGGAAGACATTTCTACTCCATAACCAAGGTGGAATATTTCTATTTCTCTTCTCATTCTTCTTAAGAGAGGAGGGTAATTTGTACGATTGGTGAGCTTGGCCAAAGGGACTGAGCATGGTGGCTCAGTCCCCTTTCCCTTCTCTCTTCCTGAATTAGTAGATTATTGGGAATGCTTCCTTTCTCTATCTTTGCCACAAAGTAGGCCTTTGGGTGGCATGGGGGTCAGAGGAGAGCAGTGGTTGGCCAGCTCTCTCAGAGACTGTGTGGGCAGGTTAGGTTCTGGAGGAGAGTATTAAGGCTTCATTCTCTAATTTGTCAACATCTAAATTTTCTCCCATTTGGGGGGAAGCACCTGCTAGTTACCCAAAGGGCTTGGACTTACCTCAGAGCCACTGCCTCTCTAAGCTTAGGTTATTTAAATTAGACCAGTGCCTTGGGAATTCTGAAATCTCCCCAGCTGGGCTTGCCCCTCCACATGCTACAGAACAGTTCCGAATGTACTCTGATTAGGAGTTTCTTCATCTTTGGCTTTGAACTCTCTTAAGTGTGTTTTGTTTATTCTACTTGACATTCTTGCATCTATGGCTTAATATTTTTCTCCAAATTTGGGAACTTTTTGGCCATGATTTATTTATTTATTTTTAGATGTAAACACTTTTATTTGGCTTTTTGAAAGCAAAAGAAGGGTAGGTTAACACCTACTTTCCAAGTTAAGACCTAAAACTGTTCCCAAAACTTCAAATAAAAAACTCCTGCTCTAAGTACAAGGATGATCTGTATCACCTTTTTAACCAGCAATAAAAAAGTAAAATATAAATTTTCATTTAGAATTAAAGCAAATACTTCAGTATCACAAACACACTGTGAAACTTCAAGAAATACACTGCTGATTTGGAGTGAGCATTTATTTGCACAATTACAACATGCGGACAGATCCAGAAGAGGGGAGCAGGCCTGGCATTTGCACCCCAGTGCAGCAGTGAGTCACACCACCTGCACAAAGAGAGGCACACAAAGGGGCTTTGATCTGCAATGACCTGTCCGTGGAGGCTAAGGTGAGGGGAGTAGCGGCTCAGCTGTTCCCCATCCTCGTCAGAAGACTCTCTCTCCAATGTGTAGGCCATGAAGCAAGCGTCAGGTCTCTTGGGGACAAGGCCATGTCCCCTCTCACAATCTCGAAGCCCATAAAGTTGAAGGTATGGAACAGAGCGGCTATCATCACAGTTCTTATGGAAGCAAATGAAGACGTGGTCAGCATGCCACTGCTCCGCCGAAAATTCCAGAACTGCAAAGCTGTCTTTGCTCCCCGGGGGCAGCACACTGCCTGGGACCTCGATGTAGAGGCAGCTGCAGCCCAGCATCACTCTCCAGTGATTGTCTGGGCATCTGAATCTGGTTTGGACGTTGAGAATTCTCATCTGGTTATTAGATGTTAGTTCCTCTGTTACATCAGCCTATTACCAGAGTAAAATGAATTAGCTGAAAAATCGTGATTCCTCTAACTGTTCCCTCAGGCACCTGGGGTCTTCAGGGGTGGGTGAGGGACATCAGGATGACCACGGAGGCCCTGCTCTGGACCCAGGTCACTGCAGCAGGAAAGTGAGACCTGCCAACCTGGTGAGAGGGGTCACCTCTGGAGAGGACAGTGGGGAGGCTAAACAAAGGTGGTGGGGAGGGCTACTGCCTGCTTTTCTGTACACTTTTGAATATTTTTAGTCTTTAAATTTTTATTTTTTAATTTCAGAAAGGAAGGGAGAGGGAGAGAGAGATAGAAACATCAATAATGAGAATCATTGACTGTCTGCCTCCTACTGGGGACCAAGCCTGAAACCTGGGCATGTGCCCTGACTGGGAATCGAACAGTGACCTCCTTGTTTATAGGTCCACGCTCAACCACTGAACCACACTGGCCAGCTGAATATTTTTAGTCTTTTATAAAAAAAATTCACCTATATGTGTATGATAAAAATGGAAAAACTGTTTGGGGAAGGATATTGAGGCAGCATTGTGAAGGCCCTGAGAAGTTTGTGTTTCAATCCGTAAATCTAAGGAACTGTGGATGTTATTTTTGAGCAGAGTGGTAGCAGCAGGCTCAGGAGAGAAGTACATTGAAACGCTAAGATTTGGATTTAAGTAGGGAAAGGAGATCTCAGGATGAGTCTCAGAAATGTTCCACCTGAGTCCCAGCCTCAGGATCAGAAGAGCGATATTCTGGGTTATTGCCCCCCCCCCCCCCCCCCCCGCCCCGTGTTTGTAGTTAATGAAGAACCCAGGAGACAATGTGTGGTGACAACAGAAATGAACTTAAAGGGCCTCTTAGCCACTATCAGAGAGACCCATAATGTTTGTGTGTCACAGAAAGCAAGGAAAGGGAGAATCCCATTAAGGAACTGACGACCAACAGGGTCAAGTGGTGCTTCCAGTTTTGCTTCTTTCCAATTTATTCTCCAAACCACAGCCAGAGCAATCTTTGTAAAGCACCCATCTGATTGTGTCACAACTTCAGCGGTTTTCCTGGGATCTTTCTAAGTAGAGCTGATGAGGAAAGCTCTCAGTTCCTTTCTGGTTGTAAGCCTAGAGGTCCCTGGGGTCATATTTCCCTTCCTTTCTCCTGCTTGGAGGAACCAAAGTGAGAAAGAGATGCTGACAAAGCAGAGAGCAGTGGAGATGAAAAACAGGAAGACTAAGAGAACTTAAGCCCCGAAATCCAGTCTCACTTTGAGGCCTGGTATGCCAAAGCTCTTTCTGAATTTGGTTACCACATTTTTGCTCATGATAGTTGGTTTTCTATCTCTTGGAGCCCAAAAAATCCTGAGTAATAAACTCCCCTTTACTGTTGGATTCCTTAGAACATTTAACTGACAATCAGATTTTATCTGTTGGCAGCACATTTGAATTGTTCTGATGAAGTCTATGAGGATTTATGGCACCTAACGTCACTCTATCTGCCTTATATATACAAAGAATTCTGCCTCGCTGAACGGGGGAAGTTGTGGGAGGTGACTCAAGGAGCCATTACAATTTATCCTGAGGTACATCCTGTGACTTTGGTGGTCATTAGTGCTGCTTACCATCATTCCAGTTCTCCTTTCTGGCTTCGCTCTCCGTGACATTGAATGTGACCATGTGATTTGCTTTGACATAAAATGCAAGTGGGAGGTGCATGAGAGACTTCTTCACAGAGTCTTCAGCAGGTTGTGTGCAATTCCCACGTTCCCTTCCTGCTTCTCTGGAGATAGTGAAAGCACATGTTGAGATAAAACTTCCGTCATCTGAGTGATTGTGATGGCTGATACCCCTTCCTTCTATTATACCTCCCCCCACCCCAAAAACAAGTTTGATCATGTAGGAGAGAAATAAATGTTTGTTAAGTCACTAAAATGTTGGGGTTGTTTGTTACCACCATACAATCTATCATATCCTGATTGATACCACCATTAAAAAATTTGAGTATTATGAATTTCAGGAGATGTTGAATTTGGACTTGAGTATCTATATTGACAATAATTATGGAAACAATGGAAGTAAAAATGTCAACTGATGTTTAGAAAAATCATTTTTCCCAATTCTCTCAGATTTCGTAGACCTTGCGTTAGGGTCTGCTAATTATTTCTCTCAAACCCATGTTCAAGCCCTAGGTAAATATTTTATTTTGCTGTATTTTTCCAGTCTGTTATTGTTGGTGATTTCTGATCTTTATCAAACACTTTTTATTATTAGCTACTCAAGAAGAATTCAATTTGAATGCACTTAAACAGAAGCTACTTGGGTTTTATAAAGGGAAGCTTTCTAGCCCTTAAGATTACATTTTTATTTATGGTTGTTTGCTGAAGTTTCCTTCAACCTTTGTGCCAGCTTCATTCTTAAGAAACTACTTGTTTGGGTTTCCACGACAGAATTTTATATGCAGAGTAAATGGATTATTGGCATATTTACTACATTACTTCTTGGAGGTAAGCTATACAAAGGTGATTTCTAATGGATTTGGGGTGAGTTTGACTCACCCAGCTTAAGGGGCAGAGCTTGCAATCATATCCTAATCTATAGTGCATTTATAGCTCTTATGTATGTATGTAAAAATCACCTTATAAGGTCACCTTATGGTAATTAGAATTTCTCTAATTTTTTTTGCAGTTGTACTCTCTAATTCAAGTTAGGATTCTTCCTTTTTTTTTTTTCTTTCCCAAATTTGATGCATATAGTTTGAAATATATCTTATTTATGGTTGCTTGCTATAGGAAAAGATAAGGATATTTAAGTAATACCTTGATGTCAAGATATTGGGAGCACCTAGATTCACCTAGATACTATACTTTTCAATGCTTGTGAGCAAGTGTTAACAATATGTTACAAGATGCCACGATCCCACAAAAAGAGAAATAACCAGATGGGACCCTCAAAAAGTAGTAGCTTCAGTTTGAAGGTGAAATTCAAATTGGTACACTGTTCAGTGTGTATGCACATGTGTGGGTATGTGCATCTTGAATTTAGAGATGGGTTTATTCAGTTACATTGTCAATCACATGATACCAGAGGCTATCACAAAGCTGATAACAGTTTTATGATTCTGTGAGTGAAACTGCCTTTGGTCTCTTTAATCATCAGTAGGAAGGGGAAAGGAAATCCCAGAAGTGATAACATTGATCATTGTGCAGAATGATACTTGTTCAGAAATCTGGCAAGAATAATAAAACTGTAGCATTTATTGATCTTCCTTGATCTGCCACTCTAAGTATCACCAGCTCAATATAGACACTATGTTATCGACGATTCTACAAAGTCTGCATTTTAATACTCCTAAAGAATTCAGGGTTGATAGAAATTGTCTTATTCCTAATGATCTACAACTGTAGATAAAAACAGATGCCTGCCTTCCCAGAACTGAAGAGTAAGTATCCTCTTGGGTGCTGACAATATGGTTTTAATGTCATGGCCTAAGAGTGACCTCAATAATTGGCTGAGTAATTAACCATCATCAGTGGTTTTGGCGCAAAGAATTTTAAAACTAATGTCACTATCATTGGCAGACATTTCCTAAAAGTCAATTGATTTAAATTAGTAACAAAACAAAACAAAAACACCAATCACAATAAAACAGAACCCAAATCCATATAACTATAATAGTCCATCCTTCCAGTTGTGCTGGGGCTAATTCATCCTGCCAAATCCACTGGATGCCATGTGCTTTACTGATAGGTTAATGAGAGTTTTTAATAACCATTGGGTGACTGGTAACATCTGCTTTGGATATTTTCTAGTTCAGAATAACTTCAGCCATGCGTTGTGGAACACAACTTTGTGTGGAGGGATCCAAACCACTTCCTGAAGAAAAACAAAACAAGGCAATTTTGCCAGTAGGTTCATCTCTGGAGAAGAGATAGCTTTTGATTCAGGTGGAGATCCTGGCTAGATACATCAATTTATAAATAGGGCAACAACATTAATTCTTGTGTAAGTATGTTCTCCTGCAGGATGACGGCAGTGGTTTTCTCTGGCTTCTGAGACTGTGTACAACTCTTCCCCCATCCATGGTCAGTGATGTCAAATTGGTAGCTTGAAATTGGTCAGAGCAGGTGTATTTTCCCCAGCAATTCTCAATGAGGGTGACTTTGCCCTCTAGGAGACATTTGGCAATCTCTAGAGACATACTTTGTCACAACTAGGAGTTTGCTACTGACATCTAGTGGGTAGAAGCCAGAGATACTGCTCAGTATCCTACAGTGCAAGGGATAGCAGCACCCCATGACAAAGGGTTATCCAGCCCTGGCCAGCTGGATGGCTCAGTAGGTTGGATCATCGTGCACCAAAAAGGTTGTGGGTTTGATTTCTGGTCAGGGCACATACCTAGGTGGCAGATTCGATCCCTGGTTGGGGTGCATACAATAAGCAGCCTATCAATGTTTCTCACACTGGCGTCTCTCTCTAAATCAATAAATATATCCTTGGGTGAGGATTTAAAAAAAAGGGTTGGGGAATTATCCAGCCCAAAGCTGCTGAGGATGAGAAACTCTGACTTATACCATGTGACTTGGTAAACATAACAAATAAGAATTTTTCAATGCCAGTATACCAACCACTAACCCCAAAATGAATTCTTATACCTTCATCACTATACAATCTCTGATTCCTCTCAGAAGCCCACTGGGAGAAGCGATGTGGAAGACTGAAAGCCATGCTATCCCCTGGGTAATTCAGGTAGAGCATGAGGTGACAAACTTCTTCTGTAAAGAACAGATATACTTATGTTGGGCTTTGCAGACCATATGGTATCTGTTGCAACTTCTTATGTCTGCCATTATAGTAAGGGAGCATCCATGGACAATATGTAAATGAATGATCATGGCTGTGCTCCAATAAAACTTTATTTACAAAGCAGGGTAGTAATTTCCTGACTTAGACTAACAGCCTTCTCTGAGGCTTTATTCTAATGCTAAACTTTTAGCTTTTATTAACATTAAAAGAAATTTACCAAATTTTGTTTGCTTCAACATTTAGTAGGAAAATAAAAAGTCAGAACATTTTCCACTGAGTCACTATGCCCTTTCTTTGTAAAGCTCCACAGGAAAAAAT